TATGAGTAAATTAATAAAAGCATAAATAAATTAATAAATAGATAAATAGATAAATAAATAAATAAATAAATAAATAAATAAATAAACGTAAACAACTAAACAAATAATAAAATAAAGACTAAATCCACAAATAAATAAACAAATAAATAAATAAATAAATAAATAAATAAATAAACAAATAAACAAATAAATAAATAAATTAATTAATTAATAAACAACTAAATAAATAAATAAACAATAAATAAACAAACAAATAAATAGACATATAAACAGTAGATAAACAAATAAACAAACAAATACACAAATAAACAAATAAATAAACAAATAAACAAAAAAAATAAAAAATAAATAAATATAAATAAAATAAATAAAAATAAAATAAAAAAATAAATAAAGAAGAAGAAGATCCATAGATAAATACACAGTTGAATACATAAACAAATACATAAAAAGATAGACAAATAAATACATAAAAAGATAGAGAAACAGAAAAAGAATAAGTAAATAAATAAATATATAAATAAATGCATAAAAAGATAGAGAAAAAGAAAAATAATAAACAAATAAACAAATAAATAAATAAATAAATAAAAAGAGACTAACAAGGGGCCAAAGAAGAAGAAGATCAGCTAGTCTCCTCAACCAGGAATATAAATAAACATATAAATAAATACATAAATAAATACATAAAAAGATAGAGAAAAAGATAGAGAAAAAGAAAAAGAATAAAAAAACAAACAAACAAATAAATAAATAAATAAATAGATAAATATATAAAGACTAACAAGGGGCCAAAGAAGAAGAAGGTCAGCTAGTCTCCTCAACCACGAATATAAATAAACATATAAATAAATACATAAATAAATACATAAAAAGATAGAGAAAAAGAAAAATAATAAACAAATAAATAAATAAATAAATAAATAAATAAATAAAGACTAACAAGGGGCCAAAGAAGAAGAAGGTCAGCTAGTCTCCTCAACCAGGAATATAAATAAACATTTTCATTTGCGTTTTCTTCTTCGCTAAAAAAAAAACAAAAAAAATTTAATTTTAATAAAGAAGGACGATCGCTGTACCAGTTACATAAATAACCCTCATCCTCTTCTTCTTTTTCTTTTTCTTTTTCTTTTTCTTCTTCTTTTTCTTTTTTTTCTTTTTGTTTTTGTTTTTCTTTTTGGTTTTGGTTTTGGTTTCGTTTTATTTCTATTTCTTTCTCTTTTTCGTTTTCTGTTTCTTTTTCTGTTTCTTTTTCTATATCTACTTCTCTTTCTCCTTCTTTTTCTTTTTCTTCTTTTTTTATTTCTTTTTCTTCTTTTTCTTTTTCTTTTTCTTTTTCTTCTTTTTCTTTTTCTTTTTCTTCTTTTTCTTTTTTTGTTTCTTTTTCTTCTTTTTTTATTTCTGTTTCTTTTTGTTTTTGTTTCTTTTCGTTGACACCACAAACCCCCGGGGGCCGCCGGCGGCTGAATGTTGTCGGGCAGCTGGAGGTGCAAACCTATAAACAAAACCCTAAACCCTAAACCCTAAACCCTAAACCCTAAACCCTAAACCCTAAACACTAGACAATAGAAAAAGCAAAGAAAGTAACAAACAGAAATATGAATACCATGGTTCCCTAAGATAAGGGTTTAGGTTTTAGGGTTTAGGGTTTAGGGTTTACGGGTAGAACTTGTTGAGGGTTTAGCTCGTGGTTTAGGGGTTTATNTAGGGTTTAGGGTTTAGGGTTTAGGGTTTACGGGTAGAACTTGTTGAGGGTTTAGCTCGTGGTTTAGGGGGTTATCTGGGGTTTGTCTGGCGGGCCAATAGAGAAGAGAAAAGGGTTTTACTGTCTAGGGTTTAGGGTTTAGGGTTTAGGGTTTACGGGTAGAACTTGTTGAGGGTTTAGCTCGTGGTTTAGGGGTTTATCTGGGGTTTGTCTGGCGGGCCAATAGAGAAGAGAAAAGGGTTTTCCTGTCTAGGGTTTAGGGTTTAGGGTTTAGGGTTTACGGGTAGAACTTGTTGAGGGTTTAGCTCGTGGTTTAGGGGTTTATCTGGGGTTTGTCTGGCGGGCCAATAGAGAAGAGAAAAGGGTTTTACTGCTTCATCGACTCCGCATATTCTTCCTTTATAATCTATACCTTTTGTTATTCTTTCTTGGGGAGAAGAAAAAGAAAAAAAAACTAAAAAAAATAAACAAAACCAACAAAATATAAACACACATAAACCCCACACATCTGTTGCTCTGCGCATGCACATAGATACTGGGCATTCGCGTAAGTCTATCCATCCGTCTTTGTATCTTTCTTCTCTCTCTTTCTCTTCTGCTTCTCCTCTTCCTGCTGCTGCTCCTGCTGCTGCTGCTGCTGCTGCTGCTGCTGCTGCTGCTGCTGTTGCTGCTGCTGGGGGGCTACGGGGAGAGAGAGAAGAACGCCGGCGGTCGCCCAGCAGCGCCTCTGCAGCAGCAAAAAAGAAAAAAAAATGTAAGTGAACTGAGGTGTATATACACCTCAATACTCTGTTTTTTTTTTGTGTTTTTTGTTTCTTCTTTCTTACCTTCTAGCCCCCGAGACCCTTCATCGTCTGCTGCTGCTGCTGCTGCTGCTGCAGCAGCAGCAGCAGCAGCAGCAGCAGGGTCGCCATCAACTCCACCTGCTCCTGCTGCTTTTAAGATATCTAAAGGAGACAGAGAATCATACAAAG